TGGGCAATGGACATCGTCGGACCGATGATCTCCTCTCGACAACGCAAGTACGTGCTCATCATGACCGACTACTTCACCAAGTGGATAGAAGCTAAGGCATTCGCCGACATCACCGCCACCGAAGTACAAAACTTCATCTGGAGGTACATCATATGCCGACATGGCCTTCCCTACGAGATCATCACTGATAACGGCCCCCAGTTCAGATCGAAGAAATTTCAGGCTTTCTGTGACAACAGACAAGTCTTAATAAGTCTACCCACGTCATCTGCAAGGCAACAGAGAAGCTGAAGCCACCAACAAGACAATCCTGGATGGCACTAAGAAGCGTCTCAATGCCAAGAAAGGTTTTTGGGCGGACAAATTGGACGGCGTACTTTGGTCTCATCGCACAACTCCGAGAACTGCAACCGGGAAAACTCCTTTTTCACTCGCGTACGGATGCGAAGCTATGGTCCCTGCGGAGATCAATGCCGGCAGCTTATGAAGAAGAGTACTCCCAAGTATTCCTGAAGTAAACGCAACGATGCTGGTCGACAATATCGACACATTCGAAGAAACACGCAACCAGGCTTTGCTCAGAATGCAGAACTACCAGAATCAAGCAGCTCGGTACTACAATAAAAAAGAGCACAATCGACATTTCGGCAAAGACAACCTGGTCCTTCGAAAAGTCTACGAGAACACCAAAGAAGAGAATGCAGGGAAGCTCGGCGCAAACTGGGAAGGTCCGTACATCATCACTAACGTAGTGAAACCAGGAGTTTACCGACTTGAAACATTGGACGGCGAGTTGATTCCACGAGCCTGGAACTCACTTAACCTCAAAAGATACTACAGTTAGATCGGCACCTCCTTGAGGTCGGCATTTAAAAAAAAAAAGGGAATAGTCCCTATGAACTACGAAGCGGTTTGATCTCCGAAATGGGTACGTAGGCAGCCTATCTCATTCGCTTTGTTTACGAATGATGCCGAGTGCTTTCTTAGCCCCAATCCATTGAGCCGCGGTCGAGATCAACTCATGGGCCTTCTCCTTACGAGAAAGCGATTCCTTCACTTTTGCGACCAAGCCCGCATAGTGGTTGTTCACCGCAACTGCCGTACGCTTCGCCACTTCTTGCCCAAAGGCAAGTTTCTCCTCTTGAGCAGCCTTCAGCTCGGCCTCCAGCTTCCTTTCCGAGTTGGCCCTCTCTTTCTTTATGGCTTTTATTACTTGATTGAGCAGTTTGCTTTTCTCGGCTTCAGCGGCACGAACCTTCTCCAACTCCTCGGAAGATTTTTGAAGCACAGCTTCCAGTTTAGCCCTCCGTCCCTGTTCGGCCTCTAGAGCTTCCTTAAGGCTCTCCCTTTCAGCCTCTTCGGCCAGGCTCTTCTTAACGTCCCGATCATATTCGTCCATCACGGTCAATGCCGTGCTCAGTGCCTGCATACTAAAATGTTAATATTCGAAGTCACTCTAACTCGAAGAATTTACAAACAAGCACGTAATGTCTCTTTACCTTGGCTTGGTCATGCGCGAAGCGCGCTATTGCTTCATTGCGGATATAGCCGCGTGGATCTGTTGGCATGCCCGATGGATGGTCCCTTAGCTTGAGGAAATAATCGAGGCACGATACAGAGTCGTGCACTATTGGACCTTCACCACGATACTCATAGGAGAACCCGAACGGGTGTAGTTTTATCTCAGCCCGGGACCTCTTCGACGTCCGCGGCTCTTCAGAAGATTCTTCCGAACTCCGCTTCTTCAATTTCTAAGGACTGCCGTCTCTGCCCTCAAACTCGCTGACTTGAGCATCGTTGGCTCCTTCCCCCTCTTCAGCCTTATTTTTAGCTTTCTCAGCTCTTCTGGCTGCCCTCTTATCGGCCGTTTTCTTGGCCTTGGCTGCATCCTGCTCAGCCTTCTGATCGGCCGTTTTCCTTGCTTGGGCTATGTCGTCCTCGAGCGGAGGTGCAGCCGGTAAGGTATTCTCAGCTTCTTTGGCAATTGGAGACCCGAGGGCAGACTCCAAGTCGGCTGACAAATCCTTGAAAGCGATATATCTCACTTTCTCTCATCGACGGGAGTATCGTTCAAGCGCAGCTGATGAATAGACAAAGATTAAATCGATGGAAAATCCTCGAATACCGAACATGCTTCTAGCGAATTAAACTAACCTCTGGTCTTGATAATCTTTTCTTCCGTGATCTCAGGCCACGTTATCGCAGCAATCCTCGAGAATCGTTCGGCAATGTTGTAAATATCCACCGGATCGTCGACAATAGGAAGATGTCTGTTTCCTGCAAGGATAAAAAAAACGAGTCAGTCGACGAAAAGATGGAATGACAAACTATTCGCAGCTTTTATATATCAGGTCGGGTAGATTTTCTACCCATGACCTCCGCCCATTTCGTTCGTATCGGCACATCCCTATCAACGATGGAGGACCCGTTGATCAAAATGAAGAAGTATCTGTCTCTCCAGTCGTTGACCTTCGACTTTTGGCCACCAGTGACGATGTTGAATTTGCTCTTCATACTGGTGTAGTACGAACCCCTATTCTGCAACTTCTCTTTTGTCCTTCTGGTGTTAGTCATCGCGTCAAACGCAGCTCGGCTCAACGGAATCCTATGCTTAATCGACATCACCATCATACTTACTATCAGGCGGATGGTAGAATGGGAGAACTGAGAGATCGGCATCTCTTTGTGATCGGCAAATTCGAGCAGAAGTCTTGGGAGTGGAAACCACAGATAGAACTCTTTGAAGAAATACGCGTAGATGCAGAACCACCCTGGTGGTGCATCCCATGGCCGCTCAGATGGGCTCGGCACCATAAACACGACTTCAGGACCAATGTCGCATTCCTCCTTCAAAGAAACCAACGACTCTATCGTCGATTTGGTCGGCATTACCCCCAGGGGATTATCGCAGATCGGCCTTATGACTGGCTCCCCCTTCTTCCGTTTAACTTTCTTGACAGGAGGATTCAGATAGATTATGCCGAACTGATTCACCTCATCTTCAACGATGAGTGTGTTCAGCTCGTCCGAGATATCCATCTCATTCGAGCCATCACGTTCGTCTTCCTCATCTCTTAACTGCGGGATCAATAACGGTTCCCGAGAAGACGATTCTCCACCCATTAGAGCAGCCCCAACCTGGTCGGCATGAAAACGATCGGCTGCCGCCTTTTGATTTTCTACTCTAACTCGCTCCTGGAAGGCACGATCTAGCGCGGATAGGACGCTGGCATCAGAGGACCGATCTGACTCTGGTTCTTCGACAACGACCTGTTTTCGTTTCGATCGCCCTCTTACAGCCTGGTCGTCTCTTTCTATCTGGAGAAACTCATCCAGAGAGATCCCGATCTCATCAGCCCTTTCTTTAGCCGATCTGACTGTCCACGGCTCTGGTCGGCTTTCACTAATCTTGACACCCTTGCCCATAATGCAGCGACAGAGCTTCCACTAATCGGAGAAATCAAAGGCGGCGCTTGAAACAAAATGCGGCGGAGGTCTAACCGGAAAATTCTAGCTAAAATAAATGAAGAACAAAGAAGAGAGAAAGGGGAGCAAACCTGATTTTGACAGAGTTTCGCTAAATCGCAGAAGTGAAAAATTGAGAGCCGAACCACTCTTATTTATACTAAAATGAGAGAGGTTATCGAGAGTAATCATTAGATCGGCGACCTTTCGCATTTCTTTTCGTTATTTTTAATCGGCCTCTTAGTTTTTCTTCTCTCATTTTTGACACGTGTCAACCCTAGTTTTGCATGTGCAAACCTAGGCCTACCCTATAAGGCTTTTGGCGGGAATTTCTCGCGATCAAGTTCATCATCTAACCCATGAGATCGTGTCGATCTGAACTCGAGGTAATTTTACATTTTATATTTTCCTAACTCTTTTGCAGCCGACCAGCATCCACACCGAGCATCATTTCTCAAAATTCGCCAAAGTAACGCATCCTCACTTACCGAACTGGAGGGGGGGGGGGGGGGGGACTTATTGTTAGAGATGAGATTCGTACCATCTCTACAAGCCCAATATGAATTCTGGTCGGCCCATTCTACAAGTTTCAGGTTGGCTAAACAAATGGAAACTTTCCATTTATCGAACGAATCCGGGAAAAAGGAAGTTCCTTCTTGTCGGCAAGGAGACCTTTCTATTCTAAATACACATCAAAGACCGACCTGATCAACTATAAATATGGGAAGCCCTCGACTTCTCAGAGCATCAAAAAATCACCTCTCGAGACCTAAGACAGATTAAGCAATCTAGTTGTTCTTAGCTCTCGATTTACTTCCCTTAAAAGTTTAGGTTGGCGTTCTTATTCCGACGACCTAAACCTCTATGTATTGATTCAAGCTTCGGCTTCTTCTAATAAAAGGTTTCTCTTTAAACCTACAAACCCTAGTTCTTTTGTAGATCGGACTTGAGTTTTTACACATACCTCGGACGGAGATTCCATGCATCTCGATATTTATAGCTAGGTTCTTGCCAGAAGATCTTTGCATGTAATAAATAAAAAAACTATAGTTGTTGTGTTACTACTTTGATCTAATGTTAATCAACTACTATCTTATAAATTTGACATGTATATTAGATCCAAAAAAAAGTTGACATGTAGATTAAAATTATTAGTCAATCACATTTCATTTTTGTGACCAATAGTTTATGTGTGTTACAATTGATGACAACAACTAAAATTGCAAAGATTTAAATAATTAGTAAATACGAGAAACAAGAAAATCCAAATTCTTTATTTAAAAAAGTCACCAAGACCCTAAAATCTTTGTATGAATGGAAGACCAATAAATAAGTGTTGGTGAACCATCAAAGCTTCCTCTCATAAAGATGAACGAAAAGAGGCTCATGTTTCATCTTATTATATAAACCCCATCAAACCTACTCATTTTTTTGCTCTGATCTAAATATAAAGAATCAAACATAATCTTTCACCATAATGAGTTTTCAAATATTATGGCTATTTCCCATAATTCTCATCGTAACATTCATTTTCCATGGCTCGTGTTTTGCAGATGAAGGTACAATATTTATTTGTTTCTTTACGTATCATCATTCGATGTGTGACGATATAACATTTGGACTTTTGGTACTAATTTATTTGAATATATATATTTTTTTTCTTGAAGCTGGTTCTTATAATTTTATGAAAGATGCAACACTCGCCCCAATGTTCGCTCGTTTCGACTACATAATCATTGGAGGAGGAACCTCCGGTTGCTCGCTAGCCGCAACGCTATCTCAAAACGCTAGCGTTTTGGTCCTGGAACGCGGCGGCTCGCCTTACGAGAACCCGACGGCGACAGATATTCAAAACTTCGCAACAACGCTCTCAAACGTATCACCCAAATCGTGGTCGCAGCTTTTCGTCTCCGAAGACGGCGTTTACAACACACGTGCGCGCGTCCTCGGTGGAGGCTCGGTGCTAAACGCTGGATTTTACACGCGTGCGGGAGATGACTACGTGAAGGAAGCTGAGTGGAATACCGATGAAGTGGAAGCTGCTTACGAGTGGGTAGAGAAGAAAGTAGCGTTTCAACCCCCGGTGTTGGGATGGCAAACGGCGCTGAAAGATGGACTTTTGGAGGCTGGAGAGTTTCCGTACAATGGTTTTACGTATGCTCACAAGTACGGGACCAAGATCGGCGGTACGATCTTTGACCAGGCCGGCCATAGACACACCGCGGCGAATCTATTGGAGTATGCTAATCCGGACTCGATCTCTGTCTATTTGCACGCTTCTGTTCATAAGATCCTCTTCACAACCAAAGGTATATTGGTAGATCTAAATATAAACATGTTTTGTTTTTGTATTTCCTTGCATTATGAGTAAGAAATCAGGTTCACGGTTTACTTTCGGTTCAGTTTTTGGTTTAAACGGTTTCAGCTTTTAAAACTCAAATAAATTATAAACCTTTACCATTTTTTAATATTATATTTATGTAAAATATAATTAGATCTATGTTGATATGTATTTTTTTAGTGAATTATGGGTTTATTCGGTTTTTTAAGACTAAAATTTATGTCCGTTCGGATTTATCTGACGGTGTGGTTCAAGGTCGGTTTGGTTTATATATGTCCCACATCTACTTAAGATATAAAAACTATGTTTTGGACAGGAAGGCCAAGGCCAAAAGCATACGGAGTGATATTTCAAGACGCGAATGGAGTGTTACACAAGGCAGAGCTGGCCAAAAACGCAATGAACGAGGTGATTTTGTCCGCCGGTGCGATCGGTAGCCCGCAGCTGCTGATGCTAAGCGGCGTGGGTCCGATGGCTCATCTTGCGGCTCACGGGATCAAACCGGTGGTCTTAGATCATCCAATGGTTGGGCAAGGCATGGGAGATAATCCAATGAATGCCATCTTTATTCCTTCTCCTTCTCCCGTGGAGGTTTCTCTAATACAAGTCGTTGGGATCACAAAGTTTAATAGTTATATCGAAGGAGCAAGTGGCGTCATCTTCACTTATAGTTGGACTCGTCGTTTTTTCGATGGTGTTTTGAATTATCTTAACGAGGTACAATAAACGTTATAATAACTTTTTTTATTTATCTTAACATTTACACCAAAAAAAAAAACTTTTTTTATTTATTCATGAAACTATATGTTAATTTTTGTGTTTTTTTCCATTTTGTAAGATGCAGACAAGCCGTACTACTACTACTACTACTACTACTACTACTACTACTACTACTACTACTACATCTACACTCTTCTCGACTCAATCCATCACAGATTTTTTCAAATCCATAGATCCATTATTGAATGCGACAACAAAAGCCGGTTTGATCCTCCAAAAAGTCGATGGACCGGTCTCGAGAGGTCACTTGGAGCTTAGGAACACAAACCCTAATGACAATCCTTCAGTGAGATTCAACTACTATCAAGAGCCAGAGGATCTACAGAAATGTGTTGAAGGGATGACCACAATTATTAAAGTGATTAACTCCAAGGCATTCGCCAAATTTAAGTACCCGGATGCGACCATACATGGCTTGCTCGATCTAATATTGAGCGTTCCCACTAATCTTAGGCCGAGACACGTAGCATCAGTGTTTAATTTGAAGCAGTTTTGCATCGACACTGTGATGACTATTTGGCATTACCATGGAGGTTGTCAAGTTGGAAGAGTAGTTGACAAGAATTACAAAGTTTTAGGTATTGATTCTTTGAGGGTTATTGATGGATCCACATTTCTTAAGTCCCCGGGGACAAATCCTCAAGCTACTGTCATGATGCTCGGAAGGTAAATGCATTATGAAAATTGAAAAAGAAAATGATCCAAAGCAGGTTGCACATTTCATTAGGAAATGATTGTTTCCGAGTTTTGTTTTGTAGGTATATGGGCCAGAAGATTCTTCGTGAGAGGGAGGCTTTCCACAAAAAGAATGACAAAGCATGAGATATATATAAGCTACAAAAAGTGCTTGAGCTTAGAATTGTTTTAATCAATGTATGATGAACTAAAATAGTCTGAACGTGTACATCGGTCCATGTTCTGTTTCTATTATGTATAATAATGGTGGAATCTTTGAAATTCAGATGGATTTTGTCTTAAAGGAGAAGGATAGCTCTGATTATAAACCTCTTTTTTTTTTTTTCTAATTTTCACTAGTGATTATTAACCTTTTTATTTTCATTATTTCCGTATATATTCACTTGCTTAAAGAAGTGGATTGGGAAGTGATTAAAGCATCTTCTATCTTTAGAGAAGGATAAACCTTTGGGCATATGCGGTTCCTCGGATGGTTTATTCTTGGCTATAAATTGCGTAGAAGTTGTGTTAACAAAATCTCAGGAGAAATTTGGTGGATGAAAGAAATCAGTGAAAGGGAAATTCAACTTTGGCAAGGAAACTATAATCAGTGAGAAAACATTATTATTGCTCACAAGATTGAAGTTGAGTCTTTGCCAAAGGAGAGTTGCCCTTTTACTGTTTTAGCTTTTAGATTTGTTCGGTGTAATGAGCAAATCAGATTTCCTTCTTCTTCTTCACTAGTACTTTGCTTCTACTTAATTTATGCTGCTTTTTCTTCTTATTTAGAATGCTTCTTTTAATATTTCACATCATACATATATATTAAAAAGATGATTAGTTAGAAATATTACTAGTAATTGACAACATCATCTATATAATAACCACTCTTTTATTTGGACGATGAAGAGAAGATATTGGTCTCATCTTTAATGATCGAATAATCTTCATTCTTTTTCCTCAAAGCATTTCTTTCTCGAAGAATCTTCTGGCCCATGTACCTACACATGAAACACTCCAACAATTATGTCTTATTTAAGTCTATAACACGCATGTATATGTACTATATAGATCATTTGATTTCTGCGTTTTACCTTCCGAGCATCAAACTCGTGGCTTGGGGATTAGTCCCGGGAGACTTGAAAAACGTGGATCCATCGACGACTCTTAAGGAATCAATGCCAAAGACTTTGTAATTCTTGTCGACCACTTTTCCAACTTGGCAACCTCCATGGTAATGCCAAATAGTAATCACAGTGTCGATGCAAAACTGCGTCAAGTTGGTCAATGCGCTCTCGTGCCTTGGCCTTAGATTGATGGGACGGCTCAGCATGAGATTGAGCAGCTCACGTGCGGTTGCATTCGGGTACTTGTATCTGGAGAATGCATTCGAGTCTATCACTTTCATAACGGTTTTAAGTCCTTTAACACATCTCTCTAGATCTTCTGGCTCTTGGAAGTAGTTGAATGTCACAGAAGGGTTATCATCTGGATTCTTGTTCCGGAGTTCTAAATAACCTCTCGAGAGCGGACCGTCGACTTTAGTGACGATCCAGCCATCAACTTCCATCTCGTCCATAAAATGAAGATCAATGGATTTTAAAATGTTTGTGATTGATGTGGTGGAGAAGCTTGTCTGCACAATGCATCAGAAGTAAATAACGTATAGTCTCGTTATCTTTGATGATAACTAAGTTATAATAACCTTTATATTGTACCTTGTTGAGAAGATTTAGAACACCATCGAAGAACCTACTGTTTAAGTTGTTAGCGAGACTCACACGACTTAAACCTTCAATGTAACTATGAAATTTGGGGATCCCAACGACTTCTACGAGGGACATTTCTACAGGTGCAGGAGAAGGAACAAAGACACTGTTCATCGGATTATCGGCCATCCCTTGTCCAACCATGGGAAGATCTAGGACTACAGGGTTCACACCGTGGGACTCAAGATGTGCCTTAGGACCCACGCCGCTCAGCATCAGCAGCTGCGGGCTCCCTAGGGCACCCGCACACAAAATCACCTCGTTCATTGCGTTTTCCGCCAGCTCTGCCTTGTGGAACACTCCATCCGCGTCTTGATATATCACTCCGTACGCCTTAGGTCTTTGGTCTCCTCCTGTCCATGGACCAAAGTATAAAATAAGTTACTACAAAAAAAACCAAATGTATTAATTTAGACCTGCGACTTTTACCCAAACCAGATCATATACATTTTTTTTTCCCTAAACTAAGATATACCAAATATATTAATTTTTTTTTTATACGAAGAACCCAACTAACCTAATGTACCTGACTTGAACCGAATATAACTGAATTTGAACTAAAAAAAAAATAAAAACAATTTTGGTAAAAAAAAAAATACACAACCTGTATGATACCAGATCCGAACCAAACCATAATTTAATTTGGTTATTTTTGAGTTGTATTTTCTCGAACACAAACTGTAATATTCGAACTAGCCTATGTAGCTTAACCAAATACCTCTAGTGGTGAAGATGATCTTGTGAACAAGAGCGTGCAGGTAGACATCAATCATGTGTGGATTAGCATACGCTAACAAATCCGCGGCCGAGTGTTTATGGCCCGCAGGGTCGAAGGTCGTACCACCGATCTTCGTCCCGACGATATGGTCGAGCGTGAAACCGTTGTACGGTAACACACCTGCCTCTAAAAGCCCATCTCTAAACGCAGATTGCCATCCCCCTACTTGTGGCTTGAACACAAGTTTCCTCTCGATCCACTCGTAAGCAGCTTCCACTTCCTCCATCTCCCACTCAGATTTCTCCACGAAACTCTCTTCCGCGCGTGAGTAAAACCCAGCGTTCAGCACCGATTCACCCCCAAGGACGCGCGCACGTACGTTGAAAACGCCGTCCTCGGAGATGAAAGGCTGCGACCACGAGTCCGGTGTTATGTTAAAGAGTGTGTTGTAGAAGTTGTCGATGTCCATGGCCCTCGGATTTTCATAGGGAGAACCACCGCGTTCTAGGACCAAAACCCTGGCGTTTTGAGAGAGCGTTGCGGCTAATGCACAACCGGTGGTTCCTCCTCCGATGACTATGTAGTCGAAGCGAGCCATAGTTGGTGCTAATGTTGCATCTTTCATAAATTCATAAGACCCTGTTTTCACGACCGAAACCAATTTGATTAACGTTTTAAATTCGTACTAACAATAAACGAATTGTTCACATGTTATTGAACATGCCATCACATTTTGAATATGATTGGTTCATGAAGTTAAGATTGTACCTTTATGGGAATAACAAGAGCCATGTAATATGAAAATTGCGACGAGAACAAAAGGAAAAATATGAAAATCCATTACAGGGTAAAATTATATTTTCTTTGTTTGGAGCTAATAATAAAGAGTAAAAGTTTCTTGCGCTTTTTATATACTAAGATGAAGTATATGACTGTATGATCCTCTTGTTTAAATTTGATTAGTTCCCCAGTTTATGGGTTTTACGTATAACCAAACGATTTTGTACTAAATTATGCACTAAACTCCGGAAACTAAAGCCAACAATTTAACTTCACATCATATTAGAAAGACATAATATAGTAATTTTAATTTAGAATGTAAATACTCTCGTCCCTGAACAAAATAACTTCACATCAAGTATAAAGACAAAACTGATGTAGCGTAAGGTACTCTTCTTTCTTCGTGACTTAATTTATGTAGCCATGTTTCTATATTAGGATTGATTTTTTCCTTTTACTTTCTTTTCTTTTGGGAATCTGTTTTCGTAGCAGTTTAGTTAATTATCCTAATCGGAATTGTGGCTTAAAGCTATATATAGCACAGAAGAAAATATTAGGCTTTCTTTCGTTTTCATTTTGGTTACTTCTCAGTTTGGGTTTACATTTTCGTTTCAAATTGTAAGGATTTGCGGCTTAATTTTCTTTGTTTTTGATTAATAATAATATTGATTTTTAGTAATTTGATAAACTTATGAATTTGGATAATGATTGAATTGCGTATTGTGGTGTAGAGCTTTCTCTAGGGTTGGTTCTTTTTGCAATGATGTTCTGAACAACCTAAGTGAATCGTTTAATAGAACCATTCGTCCAGCAAGGAAAAACCTCTATTGGACTTGTTAGAGTAGATTAGGCGACAATGTATGATGCGTAATGAAAAGAGGTTTGTTATTGCACAAAGATTGAAGACAGAATTCACTAAGAGAACTCATGTTGAGATAGAAAAGATAATCACAGTGACGGAACATTGCATCAGACATATAACAAGAAATGATTTACATGAGGTTGAGTTGAATGTTGTTGGCTATTATTGGTTACCATTTGCTTTCATGCTTTTAGATTACTTATACTTTTAAGAAGTTGAAGAAGAAAAAGAAAGAGGAGAAGAAAGAAGAGAAGAAGGAAAAAGGAGAAGAAGAAGATAAATAATAGTAATAGTAATAACGGTAATATTAATAGCGAAGATGACAACAATAATAACGATAACTGTGAATAAAAGTGTTGACGATCGTGATCATATTGTTAACGATAATAATGTTTATCATTTGTACTGATAACATAGTTTATCATCCGGCTACAATAAAAATGTTAATCAATAACAAAGTTAATTAAATATTTTTTATTATAATTTATCTAACTTTATTAAATTAACAAAGTTAACTAACTGATAAATTATATTTTCTATTATATGATAATTATATTAACATGATATTTTCATATTTCATAATTTTATGATATGATAACTTGATAAACATGATAATTTTATGATATGATAACTGGTATAACTTAATAAGTTTATATATTTTTATATAATAACGAGGTTAACAACATATGTTTATTCAATATGCTAACTAGTTTAACACGCTAATTGCATAGTAATTATGTTAGGAGCAGTTTAACTTTGATGAACAGTGTTGTCGAAAAGTTGTAAATAGTGTTATCGAGTGAATAATGAACAGTGTTGTCAAAAATTTATGTTGTTAACAAGGTTTTCAAACTAGTGGCATTTTGAGTAATTAAATCAAATGAAAACGGACATTTTGGGATTAAATTTTGTTTCTCTTTGTTAATTATCTAATTTAAATTGTCTTTTACCAATTAATTAATTAATTGGTCAACCATGTTGTTGAGATCCATTTTACTGGATTGAAAGAGAACCCGACATATGGACCTAGACTGGGCTTGACGTTGACATACGCCACGCTAGCTCGGCTGACCCACTCCCGCATACTGTTTCGGGACAGTTAGCAGACTTCTCCAAACACGCCAGAATCATTTTCCTCACCTGTTCCCTTTGCATGCTGCATGGAAGGGACACGCCAAAGGACCCGCAAATATAAGTAAAGAGAGATCACCACAAGGAAAGGAGAGGATCACAGGATCGACGGAGAGGTGGAAAAAACCCCTCTAAAGGAGGTGGTATCTGCTCATATCTAAGTCAAGCGATCCAGGCAAGCAGCATGATCACGAGTGAACTTCACGTTCTTCCCGGGTGAATGCCGACCAGGTTAAATCATTTCTAACCCGGAACCTCGCTTTCATAATCGTCTCGCTTTCCCTTTGCTGCGTAGGAACCCCTTTGAAACACCTGAAAACAGAGAGAAACCTCGATCCCCGGACGAGACTTCTCACACTAACCCGTAGAAAGCTCCCCTCCCGAGTACTTGTTTCCAGTAGGATGTTCATTGACTTGGGCGTCAGAGAACCTTCAAGAGGGAAGCCCCTTTTGGTCCTACCGAAGGCTCATCTGGCCTTTATTTAAGTGTTTACAGAATAGAGCGCAACATTCGCCCCATCGCTCCGGAATGACTCGCCGCCTTTCCCCCCAGAAGAAGAAAATCGGAGGCACAGCTCCAACCCCTCGACGAATCACACACCCCCACGTGGCATCCCGGAATTTTCTCCCGAACAGTTAGCGCTAGGAGGGGGGATCACCGGCGAACGTTCCACGAGGGAAGCGAAGCACTCAAAATTAGCTGCGCAAAAGTATGCGGGTCGAGCAGGCTACGGTTCTGCTCAACCGTCTCAAGGCTTCAGGACTATTACGTGTATTGGCCCTGAAACCGAGACTTCGGATCCACAAAACAGAGTAAAACACGAAAGGAACGTGCAAGAGATGAAGATATGCAAAATAAAACGAAGTGTATTTTTAAAGAGAAGCAAACAAGCCAAAAGCGGCCGCCGATTCAGGTCCGAAGATGAAATTTACAAAGAGGACGAGTCCCCGAAACAAAAAGATAATTTAAAAATCCGATGGGCGCAAATATCCCGCCGGTGAAGAAGGGCCTGCGACTCCGGCTGACCCCAAAGCATCTGGCCCCCGTGGCCTACTGCGTCGTCATTCTTCTTCGGGCTCACGCCTGAGTATGTTGGTTTGCCTCGTCGAGAAAGCTTCAGCCGCCATCAGCGCCAAGTCCACCTCGGCCCCCGGAGCGAACCCTCGGTACACCGTGAGGGTTTGGCGAAGCGTTTGCACTTCTGAGTTGCGGGCTTCTAGGTTCTGCTGGCTTTCCGTCAGTGCCAAGGACATGCGTTCCATCTCCGCGCTAAGATCCTCCCCCCGGGCGGAAGTGTGGGCTTCGGCAAGTTATCCCGGGTCACCAAGAGTTCGGTTTGGAGCTTGCTGGCCTTGTTGGCGAGGCCGCGTTCGCGATGCTCGGCCGCGTGGAGCTCGTGCTCCAAATTTTCAAGCGAACGCTGGCTCTGTCAGGAACGAAGAGACCAGTGAGTCAAAGGCAAAATCTGGAAAAGAAAAGGAAGAGTTCCTTAGAAAGTAGTTTACTGCGTCTAGCGATTGAGTAAGCTTCGAGGCGGTCAGACGCCAACCGGTGAGCTCGCGGGTTGAGCCAGCGGTTAGACGAGGAGGCACGAACATCGGCTCTGACTCTGAAAAGATGCTCATTGCCTTTGGTGATCCGGGTGCAGCAGCGACCGGAGTGGTGGCTCGTACAGGCCAGGACCTCTCGACAGTCTCCAGCGTCGGAGTCTCTCGGAGCCCTACCTCTGGCAGTTGAGGCCGAATCCAAAGAATAGCGAGCGGGGAGAGCAGAAGAAGGGCCCGAGGACCATGTCACCCTCACTAGGGGAGACCCGGTAAGGCGCCGTCGGTGCAAAGGTCGAGACAAAACTTCCCCTTTAGGAGAGTCGGCTCGAGGTCTCCGTCGCGGCGTTTGGACGGGTGTCCTCTGAGCGGCCTGTTGAAACTTCGCTGGGAGCAGGCGACCATCGGGGGGCATAGAGGTCCTAGATCTCCTTGATCCGATTCCGAATACCTGCCAAGACAAGACCCATGGGTGAGGATCGTGGAACCAACGCAGGATGAGGAGCAGAAGAGTCAGAATTAATATCTGGGGTGTTCGGGGTCATGCCGGATGAAAAGATGAGCGAACTCACCCTGATACTCGGTGGAGAGAGCAGAAAGTCAAACCTGGCAAAATGAGATAGCAATGAAAGGACAGTGTCAGCGGACTAAACTCGAAAGAGAAAGACAGCGGCAATTGAAGAGTCGTACCCCTTGGCATCCAGGTGAGCTGGACGTTGACCTCCGGCGGTACCGTCCAGAAGATGTATCCCCCCGCCAGTCACGGCTACCGGAGCGGTTGCCCAGGATGGGGGCAGTGCACCCATCTTGGGCGTGCAAGGTGTAGCGGAGAGCGTCAGCGGTCAGGTTCCAGAGATGATAGAAGAGAGAGTTCTAGCGTTTGCTTCGAAAATGGAATAAACCCGTAGAACTGCGAACTTCCTAATTTTATAGAAGATGAAGAAATTGAAGAGGCACGCGAGAGGAATCGCGTCAGTCGAAAAAGCCAAAAGTCAGCAGCGGACTAATAATTATTAGTCTCTTGACCCGTGCGTGGAAAGTGACACGCATTTAATATAGAGAGAGAAAAGGAACCCGCTACAGCAGAAAAGGTGACCGGTTGCTCTCAAGGAAACGGTGAACGCTGCGTGAAAAGACGTGCTGTGATTCAAACAGCCAAGGGCTCGACACGGGGACCGTACTCGCCAGACTGCAAAGATTTGCACGGGAACGTCTTAAGGGAAATCACCGACCTCACCAAAGGTCTTCCGAAGATCAATTGACAAACAGTCGCGACGGTATGAATTTTATGCCCCTACAGGATAACCGTAAACCCCCAGGGAGAAGTCGACTCCGGGGATGGGATGCAAAACAGCCACGCCCGTGGGTCGAACGTAAACGTCCGAGCAGCACGGGCCCGTGACGTGTTTTACGGTACCCATAACCGCGGATGAAACGTGACGGTCTCTAACACAGTCTCGACCAGTAAGGTTTTTCTTGCTTGCTTGATTGCCTGACTTCTTGATTGCTCAATTTTTTGCTTGTTTGATTGATTGATTTCTTGCTTGATTAATTCGGCTCATCACTTGTTCGATTGCACGGTGTCTCCTGGCGTGATTGCAGAATCGCTTGCTCGTCCGATTTCATGTCCCGCCCGCGTACCAAACAAATGATTCTCCTCCCCTGTCATATCAATAATCTCCTTCTAATCCCCTTTCCTGGCATGCTCTTCCGCGGACTTGCTCGTCCTCAGAGACACT